GCCTAACATTTGAGTACATTTTCTGTTGTTCAACAGGAGGTCTCACTAAAATTAGATGTCACATTTGTATGATAAAATATCAACAAATATTTTATCCAATTTAAACCAGCAATCAAAATACCAAAATGAACAATAATAGTATCTGATAAAATCTCTAATATTCATGCGAACAAAAGATCTTCAATGATCATCACTAGGTTTCAGCTTCGACATATACAAATTTAAAGGAATAAAAAGAAAATAACGGACCTGTTTAAATGCTTTTTCATCCACAAATAGTACATTACACAGTATTCACATAACAATGTCTGGCGGGTACTAACTAGAAATACAGACATCAATTGAGGTCTTATGTTTGTAGTTTACAGTATTAAGTTACTCTGACATTTGCTTGAGAAGAAACGAATGACCAACAGTCAGCATCTCTGTCACACTCACCACCATTGAGCAAATGCTCCCTGCATAAGCAAAAAAAGAAAAGAAAAAAAAAAAAGGATACGGCTCGAATACAAGTTTTTCTTAATCAAGAATTAGCGAAAAATTAAACATGAAAATTCTGAGTGGGAGTTTCAATTTGAGAGACTAAGCTTCTTGTTTGCTTTGCCGGGCCTTTCTAAAAAGTAGAAACTTATCTAAGATGCTTATGTTGGAAGCATTTCGAAAAAAATCATTTAGCTTTATGTTCTTTCAACTAACCTATCAATTAATTTTACCAAACTTTTTAATTTATATCAACTAATTTTCAGTTATCAACCATAAGTTATCAACTTAGAACCAACTTGTCAGCTTAATCTACCCAAACACGCTCTATATCATTTAAGATTACAAATACATCTAGCATTTATAATTGTCTGTGTTAGAGAAAATTAACAAAGAAATCTAGGCTGTGTAATTTCAATTAGAAAACCAATCATATAGGGTGTAGCAACTGGAAGAAAATAAAAAAATGAACACCATATGAATTCTTACCTAAATCTTTCACAAAGGCGGGCTAAAGCATCCGAGCCAGATCTTAAGGCAACATCCTCGATAGCTGAAGCATTTGACAGGTTCACATTGTTTGCAAGAGCAAACTCACACAGCTCCTTCAACGAGCATGCATCTGTTAAAACAGCCGAGTGGCCGCCTCCCGCAGCCAACTTCCTTACTTCCCCAACACACCTACACGAGAGCAGATTGAATCAGCACACATTTCTAAAATCGAACTAGTTTAATCTTGTTTAGTTACAAAAAGCTCGTCGAACGAGAGAGAGAGAGAGAGAGAGAACAAAAAATCAACTGGGTTGTATAGAGTAATTTTCATAAGGTAACCGGAATTTTTGGTAACTTGGATAAACCTCAAGGCCTCGATTACTTAAGCTGATAGGATATGGTCGGATAACTCTTCCAACATATACTAACCATGATGAGATTGGATAATAAGTCGATGTGTCGTGTGGGTCCCACACTTTTATGCACGTCCGGTCTTGAGGGTGGGACATTTAATCCCACCTTAAAATGACCATTTTGTCCTGAAATGTTCCTTTTACCCTTAGAAGTCCACCAAATTACAGATTTAGGCCATATTAATATATGAGAAATGCTATAAGTACATAATAATGTACATAGAGGTGTACATAACACTCACATTAAGTGGGTCCTACCAAAAATAAAAAATCAAGTGGACTCGAGTGTTATGTACACCTTTATGTACATATATTATGTACTTGTAGCATTTTTCTAAATATATTTTGCTGCCACCTCATATTTTGCTTTTGATCGGTTAGGTTAGGTTAGTAAACTAAACGCTTGATTTTTTTGCCTTAAAATGCATCAAAACAAACATTGGACACAAGCCGACGTGTAAAGTTGATGGGATTAAACTGTCCAATCCCATCATTCTAAGTAAGCGAGGCCCAAGGGCGTATTGTGCAATTATCCCTTTTAACAGTTGAAGAAGAGAAACAAACAAAACAAACTTTTGCACGACGAAAAACCATACCAGTCGACGGGGGAAGGATACCACGCATAAGTACACTTTTCGTTAGCAGCCTGACCATAGCTATTGTAACCCCAGCCATATATTCTCCCTTCCTTGGTGCAAATAAGGGTGTGACAATGGCCGCAACAGACGAGCTTCACGCCAGTCGGAATCACCAGAACAGGTATGTTGCGGAGCATCATTTCAGACCCGTTGGGCACACAAGAAAAGAACCCATTCTGTGGGCCCAGGCCCAATTGCCCGGCGTGGCCTCCGCCCCAAGCATAGAGGGCCCCTTTCTCTGTCAAAGCACACGTATGAACACCGCCACATGCAACATCCTTCACGAATATCCCATCAAGAGCAACTACACGTCTGGGCAGAAGCTCTTTATCGCCAGACTGAAGGGAACAATGTCCGAGTTGACCCATACTCCCGAGTCCCCAAGTATAGCTGTTACGTGAATTTGGATGAATAAAGGCGATAATTTTAGAAGTTTTAGAAAAAAAAAACTAAGTTCAAAGACAAATGCATTGCATGACCGAGAATCGAAAATTTAACTTAAAAACTATTCTAAATTTCTGTCCTTGTGCTAAAAAATTATGTGCAATTATAGAAATTATAGCCTAAAAACCTTATCCTAGTTGAAAAATGTGTTTCCCTATCATAAAATTGTCCCCTGGAACACTTACACCTCGCCAGTATCTGATATAGCTGCAGTATGGTACTCTCCACATGAAACCTGGGTAATCTTGACAAGCTCAGGGGCCTCATCCAGAAACCTAGCAAACCCGTTAATTAGACGAGCCCCCTGAAGGCCTTCACAGGTAATACCTCTGCCAAGCTGGCCATACTCATTATAGCCTGATTTATCAGATGGAGTGACAAAATTCTGATTAATACAACGCAAAAATTAACTATTTTTTAGTAGTTCGAATCTCTGCAGCTTCACTGACGAGGTCGTGATATAGGAAAGTCTCATGATTGAGAAACAAATGAAACTGATGCGCGGGCATCTAATGTATACAAGTCGAACAGTACGCATACAAGATAAAAAAAAATAAGTAAATAAATTATATAGCATGCTGATATTAGGTATTGAATTAGTTACGAACATACCCCATGCTTGTAGCAAGCCATCTTCTGACAGAGCTACCACATGAACGGCCCCACAAGAGACCTGGCGAATAACCTGGAAAGGTTGGATGAGATATAATATCAGCACAATGCATAAGAATATGAAATAACAATATCATACCAGGAAATTGTTTGCATGCAAGAAAATAATGCCAGATGAGATGAAAGGGGAGAAAAAGAAAGAAAGCAGGATTTATTGTTCATGGGAGTTGATTTGAGATCAAGGTACCGTGTTCTGAGTGAAAGCACCCCAAAAGAGACGTGGATAATTAGANAAAAAAAAAAAAAAAAGAACAGGATCATGATTAAGCCATTTATAGAAAAGAAGAACCAGAAACAGGGAAATAAGCTTAGGGGCATCCACTCTTGTTGGCTTTCAAATGCGAGTTTTGCAACAACGCCATTTGTAGATTAACCTTTAATTGAAAGATCAACTCTCTTTGAGTGCGCAGCTTATAAGATCAGTATGAGACAAAAAATAAGTAAAATCGAAAGATACAAGTCGTTTACAATATCCTATTTCACGAACAAAGTTTATCCTTCATGCATCATCATCACCTGATGAGGAGAAAAGGAATAATCTTCAGTCCATCAAAATTAAATGTACCTGATTCTGTCCCCAAACCCATAGTCTCCTAGTCGAAAGAGATCCATCATTTTCGCGAGGCTCGGCAATGGCCGCCGTGCAATGTGCCCCACAAGATACAGAGATCACGAATTCAGATTGCAGGGACTTAACTTTCTTTGGGTATTTTCGACCCTTTTCAGTACCATCCCCAAGCTGCCCATACTCATTTGCCCCTGTCCCGCAGTAGTGTGAGAAATTCAATCCACAAACAGGACGTTGCAAGAATCAAAAACCGACAAAAAAAAAAGAAGAAAAAAAATGTTTGGGTAAAATTACCCCAGGTGAAGAGCGATCCATCAGAGGCGGCAGCGGCGGTGTGCTCGCGGCCGCAGGCAATGTCGAGCCACCGCGAGCTGCCGCCGCCGGTCGGACAGCCGAAGAGGTCCATCGGCAGCTGCCTGGGGATCCGCAGATTCCCCTCTTCACTCCTCCGACCCGTTTGACCCGACTGATTGTAGCCCCACGCGTATATAACGCTCTTCGTCGTCATGATCGCCTGCTTTGGCTCCCCCAATATCTCGTCGATCTCCATATCCGCCCGTCGATTACGAAAAAATGATCCGAGAAATGATAAATAAGGAGACAAAAAATTGAGAGGTGATTCGATTATTGAATCAATTTGGGGGTACGAATAAATATTATATTTTTGGTGCTCCGAAGAGCTTTGGGGGAAAAAGGGACGGAGCTAACCGCGGGCAAGCCCAGATTCCTGCCCGTCGTGCCCGAACTGCCTGCTCGACCGATTTTTTTTCCGACACGTCAAAAATAAATTAATTAATGAATTATTTTTTCAACCCGAAAACAAAAATATAATGGAAATGGAAAGACAGAAAATAATTCGTAACTCAACTTATTTCTACTTCGCTCCGCTTTTGATATCCGCGATCCGAAGTCTTCATTTAATTAATTTTAGTATATTACTATTTTATTAAATAATTAACTTTAGCAGTTCAATAAGTAAGAGTACTTCTCATAATTTAGTATATCTAAAATATATCTCAGGTAAAATATCAGGTCCTTGTGTCACAATTCCGACTTTACTCTTTTCCAAGATGAGTGAACCAAAAATCATTTCTAATAGTTTGCACTGCATTTTATTCCACATAGAATGTTATCTTTTTATTCTAATTATTTTGAATTATTTTTAATGCCTAACCATAATTTAATTAATCATTATCTACACAACTAATATTTTCACGATCTCAATGGATTTTATAATTTTTTTAAAGTATTATAAGAAATCAAATAATATATTATCATTTAATAAATTTATAATAATTTAAATCAAATGTGTTTATCCAAAATAATATTGTTGGTATAATTACAAAATCAAATTATAAATTTATTAGTGCACACTGTCAAAATATTACATCAATAAAAAAGAAACAAATACAAACATCAATGAAAATAAAAAAATTATATTACATCAATAAAAAAACACATACAAACAAAAATAAAAATAAAAATTATGAATCCTCGGCAGATGGGATTTAGTTGTCCCCAACTTTAATGGATTGAAAATAACTTAATTTTCCCCAACTTTAAAATTTATCATTACTTTTGGGGGGTTTTTTGGTAATGCATGTAAATATCAAGTTAGTCGCAACAAATTGTCCTGAATGTAAACGCTTTATAGAAACAATCAAATCCTTGAAAAAGTGTATATCACAACTAGTAAGTAGTAAACATGAGATAATTTAATCTAAACAGTACATAGTTTAATCTCAGAAATCAGAATTATCTCATCCATTGCCCATAGTATAAGTTGTGGTCAGATGTAACAGACTTTGTTTTATAAATACTGTAGCACCTGAGGCCGTTAAGGAGTGATGACCAACGTGTCGACCCAGCTTGCCTTATGAGTCAGTTGATCGTGACTTTTGGGCCTGCACCGGATCCATGCTTTCTGGGCCCAAAATAAAAAATATTGTCCCGTCGGTTTTGGCCGTCAGCCTGGCCGGATGGGTCGGCTCGAAAATGTTCAAAATTCAAATTTAAAAATGAGGAAATTACATTGTCTACTACTCAATAACTTTTTTATTACACATTTACAACTCTTATATATTCTTTTGCAAAATAACAAAAACTGTCCTATTTATTTGCAAAATTACTAGAATGTTAGTTTAATCATAATTATGTCTATTTATGGGAATAGTGTGGTTATTGGGGAGTTTATTGTATGATTAAAATTGATTTATAAATTTACTGGAGTGATAATTAAATTTAAATCGAATTGAATATAGAGAAGAGAGTGGTTTATAAATTTATATGGAGAGATAGTTGAATTTAAATCAAACTGGATATAGAGAAGAGAGATTAGAGAATAAAAAAATCATGGTGGAGAGAGTTTTTAGGATATATTTTCTTACCATAACAATACATTTTTTATTTTTTCTCATTTTTCAAAACGCATATGATGCTTAAATTAAGGGGAGAGGGTTAAGTTTATTTTTGAAACTGATATACAATGCTTAAATTAAGGGGAGAGAGAGTGTTTATTTTGGAAACAGGTATGATATAAAATTAATTCACCGTGAATTAGTGTATAAGCAATTAAAATACCATCAATCGTAAAGTTGCAATTTCTTGCAAATAGAGTCCGATGTGTGTAAATTCCCCTTTAAAAATTCATTAGCTGAAACAAAATAAAATTGGGCCAACTCGGAATTGGGACCGTTAGGAATCGAAATCGTATTTTTCCATGTCAATTCCAATCCAATATATTGGGCCCGATAACCCTCCGGGTTGGGCCGTCAGTTGAGACCTATTAAGAGGCATATGAGTGTTTCCATAATTATCCTATTATATTACTATAATGCACATTCAAAAGACTTATTTAACATCTAATAACTGTTCTCTTGTGGGGTTTTTCCCAAGACAGTAGATTCTCAACTACAACAGCATATCTGGCTCTCGAGGAGGAGGAGATTAATTTCGATAAACCTATGTGGAAATTGATTTGGCATGTTCCGGCACCACAAAGTATCCGTAACTTCCTATGGCTTGCGGCTAGAGGCCGAATTTTGACAAACCTGGAGGGAGTTCGACGTCACATTGCAAGCTCAGAATTATGCGATATGTGCGGTGAGTATGAGTCGTTGATCCATGTTCTGCGTGACTGCCCGGCAACAAAGAAAGTGTGGCGGAGACTGATTCCGGAGGAACAAGTGCACGATTTTTTCCAACAGCCCTTTCCAGCATGGATTAGGACGAATTTAAGCAAAACTAAACTGGGGTCGATCACTAATTGGAGCAGCATCTTCTCGTATGCTGCATGGCGAGCATGGACTTGGAGGAATGAAATGATCTTTAACCAACGCAGCATTAGCCACGAGGCCCGACAAGTTGAGGTATTGCGTATGGCGGAGAACTATAATCGAGCGACCGCCGCATATGCGAAAGTGGGGGCCAGCGTGTACGTTACACGTATAATACATTGGGCTACACCTGCTCCGGGATGGATAAAAGTGGATAGACCATTGTTTTAAATAGTGCGATATATGTAGATCGCTATAACGTTTTTTTTTTTAAAAAAAAAAGTGACCTAGTGTTATATATTTAGCGTTTTTCGAGAAAAGTTTACGCAAAAGGTTGAAATGTCATGCTTTTTTATGCTATTTCACGCTGTTTGCGTCATATTTCTGCAACGACATTTATAGAATAAAATATTCAAAATCTTGTAATTTTTAGGGGTTAGAGCTATATTTTCAAATGACAACTAAAAGCTAAAAATTCTGAAATTTATTTCAAAGTTTGAAAATGCAAAGTCCTATGTTGAATTTTCCGATCTAGTTCTATTATATCATTTTATTTTTAAGTATTTGACATTTAAATTAAAGAACAGATCTAGTGGTTAGAATTAAACTTACCTTATTTTATTTTCGTTAGTTGTTTTTATTTTATACTATATTCGCTTTATTATTTAAATATTCATATTACAATATTTTTATTAAACATTTGCGAGAAATAATTCTTAAATATTATATTTTTGGTATCAACCATCCAATTTTATTATTTGCATATATATATTTAGTATTTCTATAAAAATAATATTTATACCCAAATAATTTACACAACACACAATGCTACTTATGTGAAATATAAAAACTAAAACGCAATGCAAGTGTTTTAAAAATTGGGTAGACAAATCAAAGGAAATTTCAAACTCTAGACACAAACAAAAAGGTCCCTGGTCAAATAACAAGACCAAGGTATGAAGATTAACATCTTATATATTGTGGATTTATGGTGGCTTTGGAAGACTCGTAACCTATGGGTGTTTCAAAATTTGTGGAGGCCAGAGAAGAAGATTATGTATACTGCAATGGAAGAATGGTTGGAATTTGTTACTAAGTGTTAGTTTGAGTTTGTATGTTTTTCTTTTGTATGTATTTTTCTGGGGAGTTAGCTAAGTGTAGTCACAGTGGTTAACTATTTTGTTTGGAGAAGGTTAGGTAATCTACATGTCCCAGCTTGTTGTAGTCTGCCTAGTAGATTATGTATTTTCTCTGTTTTTTGATTCCCAGGGTATGTTTAGGCCATGTGTTTCATGGTTCTCTGTATTGCTACTTCTTATTAAGGCTAGTTGGCCTTCTGTTAATAAAATACTGTCTTTCGTTGTTGAAAAAAAAAAAAAATAACAAGACCAAAGAAATATATGTTAATAGAGGGTTGAACATAAAAGCGAAAAGAAAAAAACAAAATAAAATCAAACTATTCTGATTTTAAAATGTATTTTCAGCTGGACCATTAGCTTTAGACCCCATTTCTTATATTTCAATCCACGCCTCTTTCCATTCATACAAAAAACCCAAAAGATGGAAGAGAGAAAAGACCAAAGCAAACGAGGTTATCTTCGTACACTAAGCAGCAAAAACCCAAAAGATGAAAGAGAGAAATGACCAAAGCAAACGAGGTTATCTTCGTACACTAAGCAGCAAAAACCCAAAAGATGGAAGAGGAGAAAAGACCAAAGCAAACGAGGTTATCTTTTCACACTAAGCAGATCAATTTCGTATATCAGCCATGAGTTCGGTGGAACATCTTCTCCCAATGCATTATCTGCAAAACTGATACCACAAGCGAAAAAATGTTACATAGATGTAAACTGCAAATCGAAAAGAAAAAAAAAAGAACGAACTCTTCTGGACAAAAATTCAACACAGATAGAAGTTTCTGCCTTTGGAAAATTCAAAACATACCCCATTGAAGGTGGGACGATAAGCCTCCTTTTTTCCCCAACACGCATACCTGAGTGATATCATGTTCAAATATTATAAATTAAACCTGAAATAAATAAATAAATACAATAAGCAGGCTTCACAGGTAGCTACCATCTATGCCAACATTCCAACCATCAATGAATTGTTCATCGCCCAACCAAAAACACAGAGCATCTTTACCAACATTCGAATCAAAAACATGCCCTGTTTCCTTCACCATGGCCGTGTAATAAATTTTGACCTGATCAGAGTTCAAACTCAATCATAATAAAATCGACCAAGAACAAGATAACCCAACTAATTTTGTACAAGTATAATGACTAGAAGAATATACCTTTTTACCAGGTGCAGCTACTTTAGCATTAGGTGGTCCACTTTTTAATTCCTCAACGATTAACCCCCCCTTTAATATGGTTTGTTTTAGACTTGGCCCTGTATCTGCACTCTGATGGTCAGTTTCCATGTGCGTGGTTTCAGTATTATTGGGTTCCACATCAAGTGTGTCCAGGTTCAAGTGCGTGGTTTCAGTATTATTGGGTTCCACATCAAGTGTGTCCAGGTTCAAGTGCGTGGTTTCAGTATTATTGGGTTCCACATCAAGTGTGTCCAGGTTCAAGTTCCCATTGGACGGTATTTTCTCTTTCTTTTCCTTAATCATTCCGTCAGGCTGACCATAACTAGCTAGAATATCCGTATTGACTGTGCTGATGATGCTGCAAGAAGATATTTCTGTTACTCAAATGAACGATATAAAGTGTAAATACTTGATGACGCTGCTAGAGATCAAAACATTATCTTCTTATACTACTTTCCAACATAAACTCTTGGTTGATTTCATTTCTAACTGTAAAAAATCTAATATTTTCTCCCTAAGTTCAAAAGTTCCAAGCCTATCTGTAATCAATATTTTAATCATAGCTTACCAGTTCAAACATTGACCTTTTTCAATCGGAAAGAAACTCGGTGTGGCCGTGGTGCTTTCTTTGTGGGGGAAGAGGAATCAAGACAAAGCTATAACTTCTTCAAGCGATCGATACAAGTTTGAGGTTTAAAAATTTTGTCTTCTTTACTTTGAGTAACTTTTTATAGTATGGTATCCATATTTTTCCGTCTCTTTTATTTCCCTGTTTCTTTTATTTCCTTAGCATGCATATGAAAATTACAGATTAAATGATATTCGTTTTTCTTTTTTTTTTTGTTTTTTTAATCTTTCTGATATCATAGATCATGTGAACGACAGATATATGTTTTACAAAAGTTCGTAATATGACAGATATACAGGAAGTTACAACTGAGAGGCGGCCATCCGCCCGAGAGCTTCGTAGGACCTTTGGTGGTTACAAGCGACTAAAGAGTATCTAAGTTTCTAACTTGTGTGAGACAAGTTTTATGTGCTCTCTACATGATTTATGGCCTCAACAGCCTTTGAATTGATGTGTTATATTTATGTAGCATCAAGAGTCATGTAATTGAATGTTCTGAAACTCTCTCCTATATGATCAAGGACTTGTAATTGAAACTAATAGTTGATCCTGATTTCTGTGCACATGCACATATATAAATTTTGAAGTTTTATGAATTATGTAAATATATAATATGATATTAAAAAATAGATAATGTATCATTTATTGTAAATTAGAATTAGTTCATTTTAGTAATAACTATTGTATAATAGAATAACTAATAAAATATAATTACATATAATTAATATAAAATGTTACAGTTTTACCATAATTGATTGAAAAATGGGCGGGAATATTTCTGTCATTTGCATTATTTTGATAGACTGAAATTATATATACACAAATATAGATTGGATATTGAATAAATTGCCTGAATTGCTATATTCTAATCTAATTTTGATCAAGCAAAATTATAGCGTGTGTTTTTTTTTTTTAACATAGTTTTGATAATTTATTTATAAAAGATAATTGTGTTTATGTGAGAAGTTTAATAAGTAAGAGTACTTCTCATAATTTAGTATATCTAAAATATATCTCATGTAAAATATCAGGTCCTTGTGTCACAATTCGGACTTTACTCTTTCCCAGGATGAGTGAACCAAAAATCATTTCTATTAGTTCTGCATTTTATTCCACATAGAATGTTATCTTTTATTCTCATTATTTTGAATTATTTTTAATGCCTAACCATAATTTAATTTAGCATTATCTACACAACTACTATTTTCACAATCTCAATGGATTTTGTAATTTTTTTAAAGTATTATAAGAAATCAAATAATATATTATCATTTAATTCATTTATAATAATTAACTTTAGCAGTTCAAACATTGACCTTTTTCAATCGGAAAGAAACTCGGTGTGGCCGTGGTGCTTTGTGGGGGAAGAGGAATCAAGACAAAGCTATAACTTCTTCAAGCAATCGATACAAGTTTGAGGTTTAAAAATTTTGTCTTTTTTAGCAGTTCAAACATTGACCAGTTGTCAGATTCAATTGGTTGATTTCATTTCTAACTGTAAAAAATCTAATATTTTCTAACTGTAATATTTTCATTTCTAATATTTGATTTCATTTTCCAACATAAACTCTTGGTTGATTTCATTTCTAACTGTAAAAAATCTAATATTTTCTCCCTAAGTTCAAAAGTTCCAAGCCTAACTGTAATCATTATTTTAATCATAGCTTACCAGTTGTCAGATTTAACCTAAATAATATTTCAGCGTATGGAGGGAATGATCAAATTCCTACCTAGTGATCTTGTCATATTATATATGCAAGTGAAATGAAACAAGAGAAGAAAAATCAAGATCAAAGAAAAAGCAGATGAGTACTGACTTATCAATCTGTAGCTCTTGGTTTTCTCCCCTTTCCTTTTGAAAATCATTCCTAGAGCTGTCAACTGGCATCTCCTGATATTTTTCACCAATTTCTTCTGTATGAATTTCTTCTAACCCCACCAGTTGTTCTTGAGTCTGGTTTTCAGCATGGTGTAAACCACATTGATTGTCAGTTCCTTTTACACTTATTCCTTCCAGCTGCAGTTCACTCTTTCTCTTCTTTGTTAGATCATCATTGGAATTTCCACTGAAATCATTTATTGAGAGTGTACTTAATATTAGAAGGAAACTCAGCACAATAAAGATGCAACACTAGGAAAGACCATTTTCAATAGATCAAATACACAAGGTTCTTACATATTAGTGAAGGCCTCAACCGCGTGCACATTATCCTTTGCAAGAACAGTGTTGTTATCCTTGGCTGCTTGAATGGTGTGGGTTTTCTCCTCCGTTTTTGAGCGCTTTTTTATTTTCAAGTTCTTTTTTGAGTGCCTTTTCCTTTTCCTTTTCCTTTCTGAATTTTGATTTTTCACCGACCTCACACCCCAACAAAGAAGTAAAGGAAGCTAAAAATCCGAAACTCTGAACCAAATAATCGTTCAACAAACTCAAACAACGTTATTAGCATAAAAAGAGAACAAACACAAAATAAGGATACAAATCATTGGGCGGACATGCGCCTTGAAGTTTCTGGACGTAATAACCACTGAGGTACACACTTCGTGGGCCAATAACAGAAAACACTACATCGTCATCCTCCTCGAATTCCAATTCTAAATGGCAAGACTCCGTTTTTTCAGGCATCAACACACAGAGCAAGACAGGACTCCTTCTACCTACATTACACTGCACTGTGGATCTCACTGTAGCATCACCAATTGCAAGAGTTGCCTAATAGACCAAATCAATTACAGCAATAATGAAGTTAGTAAAAGAGACAATACACATGACAAATAACACAGCAAAATCATATCATACAATAAACATTTAGGCAGAATCCAAGATAATGACAAATCATAAAATTTTGGAAAAATCTCTCTCATCCAAATTGTGACCTGTCTATTGTGCTTCATGAAGAAAAGTGTATCAACATATCCTCATTCGAAATGCAAATTCAGAAAAAACTTCAAACATTTGACTAGCCCAATAGGCCATTCTATTGAATGAACACCTGAGAAATTCGAAGCCTTCCTCTAGCCTTTTCGCAATAGTGAGTGATTGGCTTCCCAGGTTTTACCTCGACGCCTGAAAAACAAATAGACAACAGTATGTTTTACATAAAAACGAAANNNNAAAGCAAGCACTGTTCCACACACAAGCAAGCAAGCATAACAATGGAGAAGAACAGGCTTACCCCAAAAAGCCATTGTTCGCGAGACTAAGATATCAGGCTTCGTGTACGTGGCGTTGAGTAACAGTTCTCTCTGCAAACCCTATAGAGAGGGAAAAAAAAGCTTTGTCCCGCCCTTTGCCTCTCTGATGATTATTCCTTTCAATTTATTGTGCAAACCCTATAGAGAGGGAAAAAAAAGCTTTGTCCCGCCCTTTGCCTCTGATGATTATTCCTTTTAATTTATTGGGCTAGCGTTTGGGTTTACCACAAATCACAACTGTTTGAAGACCAAAAGACAAGAAATTAAGGGCTTGCTCATTTATGAAATAACTAGTACTAGTTGTGTATTACAGATAAAAAAATTATTCTTAAATTTTAAAATTAATGAGAAAATATTTTAAGTTTTATTTACTTTTTTTACAAAAAATATTCAAAATCTTGTATTTTTCAAGGATTAGAGCCATATTTTCAAATGATAACTAAAAACTAAAAACTAAAAATTCTGATAATTATTTCAAAATAAAAGTTTGAAAATGCAAAGTCTTATGTTGAATAGTGCAATATTTGTCGGTTTAGTTCTATTATATCATTTTATTTTTCAGTATTTGACATTTAAATTAAATAACATATCTAGTGGTTAGAATTAAGTTGTAGTTAAATTAAAAAATAATAATTAAATTGTACATACTTAAAATTAAACTATGAATTACCTTATTTTATTTCTTTTGTTTGTTTTTATTTTATAGTATATTCACTTTATTATTTAAATATTCATATTAATATATTTATATTAAACATTTGTGAAAAATAACTCTTAAATATTATTTTTGAATTTATTAAAATATTACGATAATTTTTCGTATCCCAGTTTCATTATCTGTACACACACACATATATATAGTATTTCTAAACAAATAATTTTTATACCAAAATAACTTACGTAACACACAATGCTATTTATGTTACACAGTATAAAAACTAAAACGCGACGTAAGTGTTTTAAAAACTGGGTAGACAAATCAAAGGAAATTTCAAACTCTAGACACAAACAAAAAGGTCCCTGGTCAAAGTTATCATCTTTGAAGCTACCTAGAAATTTCAAGCAAAATATGCAGTGAGCTCACAATAAAGCAAACCCCCAACAACTACTAGTGAAGATCAAATTATAACATTAGCTCAACTGAAAACAAATGCATAACTACTTATTCAGCACCATATAATATGGAAGAATCCAAAGTGAAGCTGCATGGCTTTGGGCCAAGTCCCTATGTGTACAAAGTGATATGGGCACTCAACTTGAAGAATATAGAGTATGAGTACATAGAAGAGGACTTGTCCAATAAGAGCCCTTCTCTTTTGGAGTACAACCCGGTTCACAAGAAGGTGCCGGTTCTAGTCCACAATGGCCGGCCTGTGGCCGAGTCGGACGTGATACTCGAGTACATTGAGGAGGCGTGGCCCAATCATGGGCCTGCTTTGCTTTCGGCGAATCCTTATGAGAGAGCCGTGGCGCGTTTCTGGATTGATTTTGCCGGAAAAAAGGTAAAGGAAATCGACGTACTCTTACTTTAATATAACCTTCTTGTTAGACCTTCAATAATATAAAATGATGTGATATAAAGAGTAATATATTCAAGGGTCAAACGACTGAAGTGTTGTTTTGCTAGATTTAGAAAGTCACCGTACCTTGAGAGCGTGATTGTGGAAAGTGTTGTCAATCTGGCCTTTCATCATATAGTATTCAATACTAGTCTCGACTTTGTTCCTTTTGTCTTACGATCACCTCTTTCGATGCGCCACATAGGGTTAAAGGATAAATTTGTAGCAATTTTCCCATTTTTTGGAGCACAGTAAACCATTCTACGACATCAAAGGTTATTCGAACCGTGGTTCGACATGATCATTATAAGGGAAAAAAAAAATAATGAGTAAAATTAAAAAATAATCGCCATCTGAGAAGATCACATCGTGCAGGACAGGACATTTTTTTCGTTACTCGTGACTACGGATGAAAACAAAGAGGAGAGGACAAAAGAAGTGCTTGACACACTCAAAATCATTCAAGACCAAGCTTTGGGAGACAACAAATTCTTTGGTGGTGATAAAATCGGGCTGGTGGACTTGTCGTTCGTGTGGGTTGCCCATTGGTTGGAGGTCGTACAGGAACTCGGGGGCCTACATGTTTTCGGACCAAAAGCTCTGCCCAAACTGCATCAATGGACCATAGATTTCAAACAGGAACCTGCGATTAAGGAAAATCTTCCGGACAACAAGGTATTGTTTGTGCACTTTGGAAAGTTGAAGAAGAGGTTGATATCGCAAAAGGGAAACTAGCAAAAACATAAAAAAACGTGCATTGTCTTTCGTCCACTTCTTGTCGTATCCATAATGTGTTGGATAGAATATCGTTTCGTGGACTTCTTGTGGTATCCATGGTGTGTTGAATAAAATTGAATAAAATCTCCTGGCTTGTAATCCCTCAAAACATCTTTTTCTTGTTTGATCTATTTGGACCTGCTCTCATTCGTACTCAAGACTCAAGAGCCATTGGTTGGTGACCTTGTGTGATATACTATTAAGAGTTGGTGTTATTGTAATATTGTAATCTTGCTCAGCTCAGTTCATATTCAAATTATAATGTTGTAAGAGTTGGTTATTGTGATATACTATCAAGGGTGTTTGTTTATAAATTTTTCAATTCATACTCAGTTCATATTCAAAATATGATTCAACTTTAATTAAACCCTACCATTTTCAATATTATTACTATAATTAAATAATATCAACCAATTATTCTGTCAAATAAATTTTAATTCACTATTCATCAACCTACATAATTTTAACTAAACATCAATTTTAATCATCACTCTACTACTTCTACATCAAATCAACTTTAATTATTCTATTTTAAATATTATTTTAATATAAACTCAAAATCCTACTGATCATACTATATTTTTCAAAATTAATCCTAGTTAACCAAAAAAACTCATTTTGAGTGGATATATATCCGCTCAAATTCTACTAATAACTAATCATACTACATTTGTGAGTTTGTGATTGTCTAATTCTTGATTTGAAATTGGGGGCAAAAGTTCAATAAAAAAAAAATAATAATGCTCGTGCACTAGAATTCCTGATCTCGATTAGAATCATGTCAACATGCTTGATTTGTTCTTGAATTCAAGATCATAAATAAAAGGCATATCCTCTGAGTATGTCCTCGTTGATCTATGCATTGAACTTAGCATGTTTGGATGATGAATTACATAATTTGCTAAGGCTTAACCTAAAATTGATCAGGTAAAACTATAAATGTGCTCGCTCTTTTGAACACNACATCCTTTCAAAATTATATTTGGTATGGTATAGTTTTCTTTGTAAGAAAAAAAAAAAATTATGATTATCTTTAAAGATAACTAAGACCTAATTAAAGGTACTTCTCATAATTTAATTTATGTAGATATTTTTCATATGTCAAACATATGAAAAATATCGTTAGCAGTACGCAGTTTGATATGTAATGAACTTTACGTCTTCTCCAAAATTCAGCTATCCTAATAACTTGTGAAAGTACGATATCGTGTAGGAAGAAAATCATATAATGCATCAACCAATGTTTACTTTGTGCTTAAATATACAATCAGCATATAGAGGAAAAACTTACTTTTTCTCAGCAAAGCTGTATTTCACAATGGCTTTACACTTACTCTCTTCCATTTATACTGTTCTTTCTCTATAGCTCGTCGGCTTCACTGCAAGAACCACAGGGGCCTCATGGATTTGTATAAAATCCAAGCAAAGCCACTATTTGACAAACTCTAATTCCCCTGCCACTTAAATACTAGATAGAACTAATTTCATTAATTAATAGAATATGTACAAGAACTGCGTGGAAATCAGCTTAGATGCCACAGCATACACAGAATAACAATCCAGAATTTAAAAAAAAAATTAAAAAAAAATGCACATGAAAAGAGACCACCTTTTTTTTCCCCAAGTCAAAAAGCTTGATTTAAATCTTGAAATATATGGTATAAACATTTGACAATTGCCAAGGGTGAGGACAAGGACCAAAATATTTTACCTTCACACAGAAAAAACAGTACTGCTCTTAATTTTATAATGTAATACCCTTCAAAATTTATATTTTCCTAACCAAAACACCTCGCAAGTTCTGAAATACAAATAACCATCAAAGGCTATGTTTAGACGAGCTTTTTTAAAAATTCGAGTTTATCTCGTAAGCTTCTTTTATTGAAACTAGTACGAATCCCGTGCATCTAAGATATATTAATTAATATTTATAAATTAAAAATTCTCATTAAATAATATTTATAAATTAGAAACAAGGAATCAATATCTAATACAATGTACCTTTATAATTTATTGAAAACGTAATATAAAATTTAAATTGTGCAAAATTACATAAAAATGTCTATTTAAAATTAGTATGCATCTCGTGCGTTGCACATAATTGATAATAAATTACATTATATCGTTTCAAAATTTGTATTAAAATTCGATTTGACTATAACGTGATTCCATAAAATAATTATTTTGGTAAATTTTATCTTATATTTAAAAACCTATGTGAATAATAAGTATAAATATCAACATTATATTGGTTACTTAATTATATGAATTTATTTTTGTATAAAATATCCAAATCAAAAAATTTAAGTAGTTGAGTAAAAACAATCAGTCATAAGATTTTTTATGCCAAAGAATTCTACACTCTTTATCATGCTAAAAAATGCTAAAAAAATGAACAGTGCATTTCACACAAAAATTATTTAAAATGTCGTAACAAAAAATGAATTAAATCGAGACCCACTAATTATACCAAAAAAAAAAAAAAATTGACCAGAGCTTTTTGTGCAAAATAAATATCGATACACGCACATTATATCAAAATATTAGTTCATATTATTTTGTCAGAGTTACGGTAATTTTATTATGTTAATTTTATGCGAAAAATTGAAATAAAAATTGAAACCCACGCCTAAAAACCATTATATTATCCTGCGCATTACAGAAAAAAATACACCGTATATAGATTAATTTTTCAACAAATTTCCTACAAAAAAAACAGTTATCAAATTACCTAAATAAATTTGCTCACTTTATACCATATATTGATTAATTTATTTTCTATAGAAACAACCATCAATACCAAAAATAAATTTGTCCACTATATACCATATATTAATTAATTCACATGATTTGAATAATTAAGGTATCTTATCTTATTAAAATATGGCTTAATTACTTCCTTAAATAATGATCCGCAATTACCATATGTGATCATTTGAAATATAACATAAATTATTAAATTAATTTTTCGAAATAGTAAATAATATTTTTTAAATAGTTACTATTTAAAACATAATCAAACCTTTTTATATTGATATAAATTTCTATATGAATTAATATTACAATTATTAATTAACATATGTTATAATTCATTGTCTTTCAGTGATATAGTGTTGGAGATGTTCAACATTAATAGATGTTAAAAGCCGTGTTATAATTCATTGGCTTTCAATGATATAGTGTTGGAGATGCTCTGAACATTAATAGATGTTAAAAGCCATAAATAAGCATATCCTATCCTATATGAATTAAAAACTAAACCTCCAATGAAGCTAATCAGTCCTCGTCATATGATGGTAATAATGAATGTTCATAAGTCATAATATATATCATATATTAACCTAAATAAAACCTCCAATATATGTTATATAATTCATGTTTAAAACAATGATGACTCAGCATACAAATCCTAATTTATTAACTCAAATTAAATCCACCAATGAAGTAAAATAAGTAATAAAGTAAGATAGTACGGAGAAATTATTGAATAATGCCAAAAACATAATAATTAGATCAAGCCAAATTGCGTCTATATCTCCACGAGCATTGACACAGTCAGAGTAAAATAATTTTCATTTTATTTCTTAATGGCCTGACATAGTAAAGAGCATCTGGTTAGGGAGGTTAATGTTTATTACGACACAATAGTAAGGAGCATATAGTAAGTGTAAGAAACGGGGAAACAAGTGCGTCCTCAGCATGTGAACCACACAATAATACGGTGAGCTTAGATATACCTTCCTTAATGAATTTCATTCTAAAACCAATTGAAAGTAGGAGTAGCCTACTAAGTTTATAAGTTAGACATATTTTCCTTATATAAACGATGTGAGAAAACTCAGAATTGATATTCCAATACGCTATTCCCTTGTGAGTCCTTCATTCGAAATCCAAGTCCACAGAGCAGGCCGGGTAACGGGTAGGCCGACTCTGATACCATGTAAGAAACGGGGGAAACGGGTGCGGTCTCATGCACGTGAAGTGCACCATAGTGAGGATCCATCCAAAAACTAATTGGTAGTAGGAAGAGTAGTTCACTAAGTTTATAAGTTAAATCTATTTTCTCTGTATAAACAATGTGAAAGTGAAGGGATGTTTGATGAGGGAGATTGAAAAGAGTGGGGATGTTTGATGAGGGAGGATTGAGGAGAAATGTATATTAATTGTATGTATTTCTTCTCTATTTAAAAAAAGTTAAAGGAATTTGGTGATTACTATTTTGAGGCAATAATATAAAAAAAAAAAAAAAAATCATCAGAATTTGACTTAGCTAACTAGCTTCAATTTTTACTTTTCTCCTCTAAATTCGCCCTCTGACAAGAACAACGTATCATGAAGGTCTCGACATTTTTCGCGTTCTTCTTTTCTACCGATGAGAACAGGGAAAACGCAACAAAACAAGTTGTGGAAACATTTGAAATCATTCAAGACCAAGCTCTAGGTGACAAGAAATTCTTTGGTGGTGACAAAATTGGGCTGGTGGACCTATCGTTCGGGTGGCTGGCCCATTGGTTTGAGCCCATGCAGGAGCTCGTGGGCCTACACATTTTCGGACCAGACACACTGCCCAAGCTGCATCGATGGACAGTAGATTTCAAACAGGAACCTGTGATTAAGGAAGATCTTCCAGACATCAAGGCATTGTTTGCGCACTTTGAAAAGGTGAAGAAGAAGTTCGAGTCGCCAAAGAGCGAGTAAAGAGAACCTTAAAAACGCGTTTTTTGTCTTTTAATTAGAGACTCGTGGTTGTTATGTGTTGGTTTGAAAACTATTTGAAGTGTCGTTTGTGAGCGAAATGTCTCGTCTGATTAAAAAACGAGCTGATATGGTTTTTGTGTGCTTTGTCACTGGCAATTCTTGCACTGAACTTGTGAGATCACTGCAAACACATTGAATAAATTGAAAAAATTACTATCAATGTTCAAACTAGCTATTGAGATTAAGTTGAGGAAAATTTTCAAAAAATATCACAATTAATCTTCCACTGCTGATATTATTGGCCAGNAAAAAAAAAATAAATAAAAAAAAAAATAAAAAAAATTGTAGAAATGCTGAGAATTTTCAGACGATAATCACAGTTTTGCTGCCCTTTGGAAACTAAAAAACACTACTCTAATAATTAAAGCTCTTGGAAATTTACTTGCTCTACATAACTTCTCCATGACTGCATTGAAATTTATAAAAGTGGCACTTTTTATGTAGTGTTTGTTAAAAATACACAACCTATACAACCACTAATAACAACCCGAATTATGATTGAGGGGGACATTTTTACAATAGTATACATTTAGTTTAAATTGAAATGTCATAAAAAACAACATAAACAATAATATGACATTTCATTGCGTAAATATACATTTTTGTTAAATAAATATGACAAATTGACCCAGTCTCAACCGGCCTAACGAAGGAAGAATTTATATTTCTCCAAACACAAATTGACCCAGTCTTCAAAATTCAGAATATGGATACATGTCTCTTCATTTATTTTTATTTTTATTTTTTTTCTTGACATGTCAAACATTATGATAAACACAAATAGAAAAGGGCCCCACATGATAACTACTTGTCATCTACGAACTTTCTTGAAAACTTAAAAAGTCAAACCCAAACCCACCAACCCCCAATAAATGAAATCCCTCAAAAGGCAAAAGTGCATATCATCTATGGAAGAATCTCAAGTAAAGCTATATGGCTTTTGGGCCAGCCCTTATGCTCTCAAGGTGATATGGGCACTGAAGCTGAAGAATATAGAGTATGCGTACATAGAAGAGAACCTGTCCAATAAGAGCCCTTCTCTTTTGGAGTACAACCCGGTTCACAAGCAGGTCCCGGTTCTAGTCCACGGTGGCCGGCCGGTGGCTGAGTCGGATGTGATACTCGAGTATATTGAGGAGGCCTGGCCCGATCGTGGGCCCGCTTTACTTCCGGAGGATCCTTACGAGAGAGCCGTGGCGCGTTTTTGGATTGGTTTTGTCCAACAAAAGGTAAGCATATAGTTTCGGTATGTCTTACAAATTCATGTTTCGATAGTTGTTTTTGATAAGAGTTTTTGCTCAACATCAGGAGAAAAAGTGGCATATTTGCAGGGGAAAAAAATTATTGAAACAATTTTTTAGTTGAATTGTTGTATATTTTACGGTGTGCACAAAATTTGGTTGACCGAGCCGAGAAACCGAAACCGAATATTTAGTTCGATTTTTAGTTTACATTTTCTTAAAATTTCAGTGTCCGGTTTGGTATAGTTTGGTATGAATAATGGTGGTCAGAACCGAACCGAAAACTGATTTATACATATATTTTTTTTTATTTATTCAAATAAGTTATAAAAACATTAATTTGTTTCAATGATTGATGATTTTCGAACTTCATGACCCCTAAAATGACTCACGCCTTAATATTGATTTCGTCACAGTTCAAGTCATGGTTCGGCTCCGAGATCTTCCTCTTACGAGAATTTAAAATTTATTGAGAATATTAAACAACTAACAAAAAATAAATTTTTTGGTTTGGATAAAAATTCAAATTTTTGGTTCGGCTAAAAATTCGGAATTTATTTAGAAAACTAATTATTAACCGATATTCGAACCAAACCGACCCAAACCGACCGAATTTTCGGTTAAAAACTGAACTGGACCATAAATTTCGGTTCAATTTTCTGTTCTTATAAATTATATTTAATATACCGAATATTCGGTTAACCAAAAATTCAGTCGGTTCGGTTCGGTTCGGTTTTGACCGAATGAGCAACTCATACTTTATGTCATAGTTCAGTCACAATGGTTGAGTTGATTTTCAAGAAATAAGAGGTTTTCTGAACATTTGTGTTTCGACATTTTCTCCGGCCGAAAAAAAAAGAAAAAAAATAGTTTATTTGGACATCAGATGTAGCTAACTAGCTTTGGTTTCAACACATTAACCATAAAAAAGCGATGTTCCTTCTGCAGCGCATGACATTTTTCGCGTTCTTCCTGTCCACCGACGAGAACAGAGAAAAAGCAGCAAAAGAAGTGTTCGACACACTCAAAATCATTCAAGACCAGTCTCTGGGAGAGAAGAAATTCTTCGGTGGCGAAAAAATTGGAGTGGTGGACTTGAACTTCGGGTGGCTCGTCCACTGGTTTGAACTCATGCAAGAATTCGTGGGCTTGCGCGTTTTTGAAACAACCACTCTGCCCAAACTGCATCGGTGGACCATAGATTTTAAACAAGAACCTGTGATCAAGGAAAATCTTCCAGACAGTAATGCATTGCTGACACACTTCGGAAAGTTCAAGAAGGAGCTCACATCGCCAAAGAACGACTAAACGAGAATCTTAAACACACATACTTTCTAAGTTTTTTTTTTTTTTTTTTTTTTTTTTCCAATTTGGATTCGAATAAAATAGTATGATACATCAACCACTGTTATTGTATGCTTTGACATTATCATGGAGATAATATGAATTCTCACGAAAGCTGTATTTACAATGGCTTTACACTTACTGTCATCTGCTGCTTATATTGTATTGTTCTATGGGTGGTTTCGGTTCTAAGCACGACAAGAACTATGAAAAACCTCATAGATTCATGTCAAGGCGTCTCGTCAAATGTCATCACCTGAAAACCCAAAAGAAAAGCAAAATTTGAAAAAAATAATAATAATAAAACATAAAAAAAAAAAATCATTGAATGGTAATAAATGACTGTGTATATATAAATTTATATAAAATGTACATTAAAAGAGTATATCCTACCCATTTAATAAAAAGATGAGGTATATATAAAGTTAATCTTCACATAAAATCTAACATATATTAATGCATAGGAAATGATCAGAAGAGTTACCTTGCCACAGACTGGGCAGTTGTCACTTCTTTCCATCCACTCATATATACAACCAAGATGGAAATGGTGAGAACATTTTGTATTTATTTTTGGGTCCTCCGTGGTATATTCTGCAAGATGAAAAATTGCGTGAGGTGTAAAACTAAAACGTGTGAACGGTTATCAGTAATTTACTCGAGCAAGAAAAAAGTGAATGTTTTAAGAAACACATCTAGTCCTTCAAAATGCCTCAAAATAAAATGCTACTTTCTCCCTCGATGACAAAACACGGGCTATTTAAAACAAGCCCCCTTGTTTCACAAGGTTCGAATCAGATCAGTTATTGATTAAAATTTGGCCGGATAATTGCATAAACTACCCTCATGTTCAGGATAATAACATTCACCAAAAAGTCTGGAGTTTGAGAGTTCATAAGACGCCCTTAAAGTTATATTCTTTCTTATACTTTCAAAAACCATTAAACTATGTAAGAATCATATTATAAATAAGATTGAATCCAACTATGCGTATTTAGTTATAATAATACTAACATGACCAACTAAAAACACTGCGGGTAAAGCATCAAACTTCAAAAGTTGTGTTATACTAATATTCGATGCAATCAGGTTTGAGTAGAAGAAAATTTAGTCATAACTAACACACACGAGAGTAATAGCCAAAAAAAGTGCGAAAATATAAAATTTGAACAACTTAATCGATTTCATCACAGCAGTCAGTATATACCATATGCAAGAAATGCTGAATGAAGCAGCGGAGGCATATGCAGTTCCGATAAACCGAGCTGTTTGGATTAGCAAAATCTTCACATTCATCCCTCAATCAGCAACAAGTAGAGCCCATCGTCACCAATCGAGGCCCACTATTAAGTTCAATCTAAAAAATATCACCAAAACCCATTCATACGAAGAAACATTTGAAGATCAAATACCAAATCATGGTAGCAACTTAAATGCAATGAGAGAGGATCCCAAGACGAGCACCCTCTCCCTAACAATAATCAAGACCCAAATGCCTTTTTCTTGTGGTGGGCAACGTTAAGAAATATCTACAAACCTGCGAGAAATATATAACGTCACTCAATTGATTCAAGTAACGATGGAAATTAAAAAATTGCAACTTTGTAGGTAAATGAGCTTCAGTAAAAAAGACAGCACTTCACAGAGCTGCAGCTTAAGCCATCACCAAATCCCCAATTCAAAAACAAGAAAATCACAACCAGTAATGAAACAGTACAACTCTTTCCTATTCTTCAACATCAAGCAACTGGTATTAGCCTAATTTCTTGAAAGAACATTCACGATTGAATTGAATTCTCAGAAACCCAGAACAAGATTCAGTTTTTCGTCCGACAGAGAGAGTCCATTACCGGATTAAGTGACTGTTGCTAACTCCAACTCAGCAATTGGGAGAAACGTGATGTGTAGTGATAGAACCAGTTCAACTGCAAATTTTTCACCAAAACCCATTCACCAAAAAAGTGCAAGAAACTTAAAGATCAAATTCCAAATCCTGCAAATTAATTGCAATGAGAGAGGATCCCTAGACCAGCACCCTCTCCCTAACAATAAACAAAATCCTGATGTCTTTTCTTGTGGTGAGCAAACCTGCTAGAACAAATTGTGCTAGCATGATGAGAATGGAGAAATAAAACGTCACTCAAATGATTTACAAAATGATGGAAATTAATAAATTGCAAGTTTACAGCTAAACGAGCTCAGACGAAAAAAGACAACACTTCACAGAGGACATCATAAATTCCTCAGTTCGAAAACAGAAAATTACAACCAGTAAAGGAAAAAGTACAACTCTTTCCTATTTCTTCAACCTGGTATTCACCTATTTATCGAAAAAACATTCAAGATTAAAATTGAATTCTCAAAGACCCAGAAAAAAGATTCAAGTTTTTCGTCCAACATAAAGAGCCCACTGGTGGGTTACGCGACTGTTGCCAACTTCAACTCAGAAATCAAGAGGAGAATGAAAAGAATATAATTTGCTGAGATATGAATATAAACAAAAGCTTGATATTTTTCTAATATAAATATCTATTATAAAAATCAGTTTAGGTAGTGCTCAAGTGCCACGATTTTAGACGGTCATTCTAGACACGGGCGATATTAATCATGGATAGACTGTCCGGGTAGTCGATACTCGAAAGACTCGAAACAGGTACCTAGGCGATCTTAAAGGACACCTAGACGTCCATAACTGTATTGAATATACCTCAGTTATTAAAAATTAAAATAATTATGAAAGTATTAATTTTTGCATTATCTTTATGTTTGATCATGTTAACTAATATATTTTATATAATATATCCTTAAAATTGTAAAAGGTAAATAATAATTCTCAACATTTACATGAATAAATTTTAAAAATTATAAAGGATAAATAATATTTTACAACCTGTAGTATTCGTGTATTTAGGATTTACAACCTCTTCGATTATTGGTAATAAGTTACAATATGTAATATACAAAATGTCGATATCGCAATCTCTCGCCATCGACGGTCCAATTTCCTCGAAAAAAGCAAGCGTGCGAGAAGAACGCACCAAATTTGAGAGAATAAAATGTCATTTCACCTTATATCTATTGGTCTCACGTTAATCAATCAATGGGTCCTCTCCTCGACTTAATCTCAATGTTTCCTTCTTGATTAAGGTTTTTATAGAATATATAAATGAGGAAATATAATGCACGACGTGGTCGGCCCGGATCTTTGCCCCTTTGTTCCGGCCTCTTCGTGGTGCGTGGAGAGCGAGTTCTCCAACGTGTGGGGGTGAGAGTGGCTCCCTCGATGTCGTGTTTGCCGTAAATCGTATTCTTTTTGTTTGGGTTTCTTTCGGGCTTTAGTTCGAGTGGTGAAGTTGCGGTGTGTTTGCCCGACTATTGGGAGGGCTTTGCTGTATTCTAGAAGTAGTTGTAATTTTGTGTATTCTTTGTGTTTTTTTGGTGTTTTATCTGTAATTTTTTGGGGTTGTTCTACCGTTGGGAGCAATGTTATTTTATTGTTGGGAGTTCATCTGGGTGAATTTTTTTTTTTTTCTTTTCATCTGG